TGTGTGAGAGAGAGAAAGCGAGAGAACGATGAGGAGGTCAGCAAGGGGTGGTTGTTGTTCAGTCCTCTGCCCCAAGCACATTGCATGCATTTTTCTTTTACACACACATTCAGAAAAGACAGAGTCCATCTGTTTCTGCTGACAGGAGACAGACAGACCCCCGAGCTCGAGGAACAACCTTCCCTGCCTGTATAAGTGTGGATGTTTATATTACATTAGTAAGTGTAAAAGGGAAGAAATAAAAAAGCGCTCACTATAAATCAGTATAATTGGCTAATCATTTCATTCGTTCAACTTCTGCTGTCATCTTACCCCATCATCTACCATCTTTCTCTCTAAGGGCATCCTGCAACTTGTTTCTATGGAAACTGCCTCTAAAGCAGGCAGGAAGAAAAGGACAGGAAGAGATGCTGAAATGGCAGAAAAGCCTCTTTGTGCCGGCAGAGGCTCTCAGATCGAGTTGGCCTAAAAGAAGCTAGACAGGGTTAAATACATACACACTCACACTCATAAGCTCCTCTTTAAGCAAAAAATGGGAAGACATGGTGAGATGGAGCATCACCAGATCCAAGAATTCCCCTTGAAGCCATGCAGCCTGAAATCTGTAGATAACCTGATAACAGACTACAGTTAACTGTTCCAGTCTCTGCAGTAAATAAGACTGTGCTATATTTATTTTTTGCTCTATCAAAGGCTGGGTCTTGTTCATGATTTGTCTTTTCTCCATTCACAGAGACACAAAGTCATGCGCACACACACACACGGACGCACACACACACACACACACACACACAGAAAGGCTATTTAACAAAAACGCACAAAGAAAGCATGAAATCCCAAGACCCCTCTCATGTGCAAACATCACGCCATAAACACACACACTGTCACGCATACACAAAATCTAACTCTATTCTATCTTGGAAAATTGGATTGCCGATCCAAATAATTTGATTATAAACACCTTCTGCCTTACACTGGGGCTGCATCACTTAATAAAGCTTAAGTGCAACAACACGCCAGCGCCCACACTCATAGACACACAAGCCCACACCATCACAGATCTATATTGTCAGCAGCTGCACCTTCCAGATCAACAGGCGG